TGCCGTTTGTTTTTTTTAGAATGGTCGTAAAGCCAGTAGAAAGTGCTAGTTTAGCAATTATGTGAATGATTACAAGGAGTCAATACAGTATGGAGCTGGAGGAGCACAGCAGGTCAAGGAGCAGGAAAGTCAATGTTTCAGGTTTATACCCTTCATCAGGACTGGGGAGGAGGTAGGGAGCCCAGAAATAAATGGGTGGGGTGGGGCTGGGGGAAGGCAGGTGGGATAGTGATAGGTGGATGCAGGTAGCGGGTAGTGAGATTGGTCACTGGGAAGGGTGGGGTGGCTAAGTGGGAAAGAAGATGGACAGGTTGTGTCAGGTTAAAGAGGCGGGGATGAGAGGGAGGGTTGAACACGGGATGAGTCCAGAGGTGGGGAGGTTTTGAAACTGGTGAATTCTATGTTAAGGCCATCGGGCTGTAAGCTCCCAAGGTGGAATATGAGGTGCTGTTCCTCCAGTTTGTGTGTGGCATCATTGTGACACTGGAGGAGGCCCAGGAGGAGTGTTACACTCCTGGACTTCCCAGATGTCCTCTTACTTCAAGGACCGTAACATTCCCCCCCACTCTGATTCATAATCCCCTCAACTGCATCTCTTGCATTTCCCGTACTTCTGCCCTCAATCCGCTCCCACCCCCCCCAAAAAAAAGAGGACAGAGTCACCCTGGTCCTCACATACCACTCCACCAACCTCTGCATCCAGCGCATCATCCTCTGCCACTTGCCGCATGCAATCTGCCCCCACCACCAAAGAGATATTTCCCTCCCCACCCCTATCTGCCTTTCATAGGGACCGCTCACTCCGCGACTCCCTCGTTCGCTCCACATTCCCCACTAACCCCATCACATCTGGCACCTTTCCCTGCAACGGCAGGAGGTGTTACACATGCCCCTACACCTCCCCCTCACGTCCGTTCAAGGCCCCTGACAATCTTTCCACATCCACCAGGTAATCGCCTGTACATCCTCCAACCTGGTCTACTGTATCCATTGTTCCTGATGTGCTGTCCTGTACATCGGTGAGACCCAACATCAGTGACTCTGACTACAGCATCTGCAGTTCTTGCTATCTCCATGATTACAAGGATTTCCTTTAACAAGGCAGTCATTCTTCCTTCATTCAAAATTCAGCTTTATTCTCCTTCATAGTGCTTGTTTTTATTATGATCATGATATAAGGCCAGACCAAAAACAAAACAAAGAGCTGCGGTTCTGGAAGTTAGAAACAGAAACAAATTGCTGGATAAATTCAGCAGGTCTGGCAGTATCTGTGGAGGGAAAGCAGAGTTAAGGATTTGGGTCCAGTGACTCTTCCTAAGAGCCCAGGGCCAGAGCCAACATTCTTATTTGTATAGATTTTGCCAATGGGTATTTATGCTTTATTTCACATCCTATCAACACTATAATCACAAACTATTTTTGTTTAATATTTATGTTTAATTAACTTGTAATATTGATCACAAATTGAATTAAACTAATTCACTTTTTTCAAAGAAGGATGTCTACTCAGTAGAATAAATTTTTTCCTTTAACTGTTGAAATAATTGAACTGGTGTTTTATTTTGAATACAGAAATTGTTTAGAGAGTGTAAGCAATTTTTCCATTTATAGACTTTGTCCAAGTCAGTGCTTCCATCTCATGAATGTCATTGTTACTCACCTTTACAAAGTTGGTAGCAATGGTGAGCAATGTAGTGAGAAAATCACGACCCTAGGATTTGCATTTTTTTTTTCTATATTCTTTTATGCAACATGGCATTGCTGGCAAATCTAGTACTTGCTTCCTGTCCTTGATTGCTCTTGAATTGAGTTGCTTGCTAACGTCATTTCAGAAGACATTTTAAGAGTTGACCCCATTGTTGTGGGTCTGGAGACTGATGTAGGCCAGACTAAGTAAAGACAGCACCTTTTACCTTCACCAAAGGAGATTCATGGACCAAATGTGTTTTTACAACAATCTGTGGTTGTTTTGTAGTTGCTATTTATGACTTTTTCTTTCAATTCCAGATTTCTTAATCGAATTTAATTCCGTCAGCTGTCATGGTGGAATTTAAACATGTGTCCAGGGCATTACCTAAGCCCCTTAGATTACTAGTCCAGTGACGTTGCCACTATCCCATCCACTTGTTTGTGTGTAAATGGAAATATTATAACCAGGTACTTAGTGTGAGGAAGGCAACACGAGCACACAAAGATTATGCTTCTTCGTGTTCTGCACTAAATGTTGACGGAGGGATTGTATGCAATTCATTCAATTCTTTTAAACAAATTGTGATACTCTTATACTTTAAACACTTCAAACACGTGCATTTGCAGAAAACCGAACTGCCTCATGAATTCTCTATCTCTTCTCTAAAGAACAAATTGTTTTATTGAATAAAATTCCTTTCCTTTTGGAAAGGTTAGCCAATTGTGAGATCGCAGTCAAGCATATCCAACAGTTTCCAACCAATATTTGTTATTATAGTCATTTTTAGGTTTTCATTTTAACTGAGAACCAATTAATAGCTAGTTTTTGCCAGATTAAAATTATGGATAACGGTCTGTAATACTAGTCCACTTGGACTAAATATTTTATTTTCCAACAGACTTTATTGCAATCAAAACATTACTTAATAGCTTTTCCATTACTTAGGGTTTCTTTATTGTTTAATCCATGCGTAGTCAAATGAGATAACTTGTCATTTTATTCTCTATACATATTGTTCTTTTTTGTCCGTCTGTTTCATTAAATTTCTTGAGCCATCAACCTTTAATGTGTGACAAAAATATTGGTGAAACAATCGGCTGGACTTAATACAGTCTATCGTGGCTGACTATATGGTGACTGTGCCATCTGGTCTTGGGAGAGACCCCACATCAGTCTCCTGCTACAGCAAAGGAGGAGGGGGCGTTGTTGGATTCCAGACGTCAGAGGCAGGATGTCACTGGGGTCTTGAAGAAGCCAATTCAAGCCCACTATTTCTGAACGGAAAGTAGGTAGCGGTTCAAGGATTACATGGCAGTCACCCGCCTCGGAATGGCCCAAAAGAACCTCTTGGGCTCCCAAGCAGCTTTCTGAAGTGCGAGTTCAGTATGGTCAGGCATCCTGCATTTGCTTGAGGAATGCTTCATCAGGTGGGGGCTGAAAGCCATCCCCAGCTCTTGGTTCCAACTCCCCTGGCGCCCATCCCACCTTTCCTCACCTCTTGGCCTATGGCAGTCCTACATTGGTCCTTGACTGTGAAGAGTGTAATGCCACCAGCACTGACTGCTCCTGCTTTACTGGCAGTGTGAGTGGCTGCTGGCCTCTGGTTGATGGATGGGACATCCGGAAACCTCAATCATAGCGAAGACCCAACAGTGGATTTTTGATTGCATCAAGCAACCCTAGCAGAACTGAGGGTAGTTCCCTGTTGTTCACTAACCATGGTGTAATGGTCAGATTCTCTTTTGCTGGAGATGGTCATAGCGCAGCACCTCTGTGAATTTTACTTGCTGCTTGTTGGTCTGAGATGCCATGAATGGTGCTGAATATTGTACAGTCATCAGCAAACATCCCCATGTTGGAGCTATGGTGGAGGCAGGATCGTTAATGAAGCAACTGAAGATTTTTGAGTCTAGGATAATATCCTTAGACTGTCCTACACTGCTGTCCTGGGGCTGAGATGACTGACCTCCAACAACCACAACCGTCTTCTTTTTCGCTGGGTATTACTCCAACCACCAGAAAATCTACCCCTGATTCTCTTAAAGGGCTCCTTGATGCCATAGTCCTCCAAATGCTGTGTTGCTGTCCAGGGCAGTCACTGTCTCACTCTTGGAGATCAGCTCTTTGTGAAAATTGGAATTTGAACATACGCCTGTCTTTTAATTAAATATTGCCTTCTGAAAGATCTTGCTTATGACCATCCTCAAGCTATTTGTCTTGATGCTTTTATCAAATCAGAGTTTAAAAACTTACTTGCCAAAATACACTGATAATTGACAAGCAATTAAAAAAATCTCTCAAATAAAAAAGTCTCACTAATAAATTATCTGACAACTCCAAGCTGAACCTCTGAAGTAATATTTTATATTTTATGCTGCAAATCCAGATAGAATTCCCAACCATCGTTTAAACAGAGTATCCATAGAAGGTGAATTCTCAGCATTACTCCATCTGTGTTAAGATCACAGAACTCATGAAATAACTTAGTCTGGTGATCTGAATTATAGACAGTTTACTTCAAGTAAATGTGTGGAACATAGAAAAAGGAGATGCACATCTCCAATAAGTTAAACTTATTTCTGAGCTCTAAGGGAAACAATGTGGTATGTTTAGTTCTTTGGGGGAAAATTTTTACTTGCTGCAGGAAAATATCACTTACCAAAACTGAATCTCTGCTAAGGATAGAATTAGCAACTCTTCTTCTCCAGTAACACTCCTCTTTTGCCCCATTGGAACTGTAATGTTTCTGCATGTTCAGAAAACAGAAGTGTGAGTTGTTGAAAGTAATCAAAGTTTCAGTTCAGAGATGATCTGGTGGCATAATAGTACAGCAAGGTGTTTCTACATTTAACAATACCTCTAATCATTGAGATGTTGACATAAAAGCTGTTGAATTTTTACAGTTGTTGCTATGCTATTATACAACAGTTGTAATGTGTTAATTCTGCCAGATGCCAATACACATTGTGATCGTGATTTTTTGTGAAGGGTCCAGACCCAAAACGCCAGCTTTCCTGCTCCTCTGATGCTGCCTGGCCTGCTGTGTTCATCCAGCTCTACACCTTGTTTTCTCTTGTGATCATGATGTCTTCTTTACAAGCCATTCCCTTCCATCTTTGATCTAATGCCTTTTGTTATATTTAGCGACGTCCAAACCACTTGTGCATCTGTTATGGAAATAATGTAAAAATCTTTCGGGAACTGTTATCTATTAAAGAATAACTTTCCCTGTTCATTTTAGTGCATTTCCAACTATTTTTGTGCTGTTTTGTCATTTCCATGTCATATCTGTGCCTTCATTTTACTTAAGGAAATGCAATAGAGCAGGGAAGAGGAAGAGGAAGAGGTGATGCAGGGTGGATGAAAACTCAGGTAACACAACCAGGAAGAAAAAGACATGAGTCTGGGGAGAATGTCGTAGAGAACGAAGCGTCAGATCAACCACAGGAGAAAAAAGGTAGGAGAAGGAAAACACAACCAAATAAAGATGAAGAACAAGGCAAGGTATGTGATTCATAATTTGTTCTTTGCGTGCTTAACATTAATACTTAAGTGTATGAATGAGTAGAATCTCTGCCTCAACAAGCTTGTACTAGATTGAAGTCTGTTCTCAGGACTTGTGCTTAACTGGACAATCCTACCGATCTTATCAATCATAATCTGTAGACTGTATTCAATTTCTTACTTAATCAAGGATTTTCTGTAACATTCTTGAAGTGTTCCCCATTTCATTCTGAGCTTGCAATTTGGGGGGAAAGCAAAATCAGCTTCACATGATGAAATTTTAGGGTAGAAAATCAATAACCACTGAGTATTTGAGGGTGCTTTTAAAATATCTATTTTCATAATTTAAAGAAGGAATATCTGTAAAGCTGAGATGCATTCCTGGTCTCTCTGCTGTAGGAAGGATGTTGTGAAACTTGAAAGGGTTCAGAAAAGATTTACAAGGATGTTACCAGGTTTGGAGGGTGTGAGCTAAAGGGAGAGGCCGAATAGGCTGGGGCTGTTTTCCCTGGAGCTTCGGAGGCTGAGGGGTGACCTTATAGAGGTTTGTAAAATCATGAGGGGCATGGATAGGGTGAATAGTCAAGATCTTTTCCCTAAGCTAGGGAAGTTCAAAACTAGAGGGCATAGGTTTAGGGTGAGAGGGGAAAGATTTAAAAGGGACCTAAGGGATAACTTTTTCACGCAGAGGTTGGTGCGTGTATGGAGTGAACTGCCAGAGAAAGTGGTGGAGTCTGTTACAATTACAACATTTAAAAGACCTCTGAATGGGTATATGAATAGGAAGGGTTTAGAAGGATATGGACTAATTGCTGGAAAATGGGACTAGATTAATTTAGGATATCTGGCCAGCATGGATAAGTTGGTCCGACAGGTCTCTTTCTGTGCTGTACAGCTCTATGATACTAAAAGCTCATTATAATGGAAATGTACAGCAAGCTTGTCAGCATCTCTGAAGAAAAAATGGTTTCGTGCATCAGGTGTGTACTCTCTATCAACAAACAAGTCTGTGTTAATATGTACATATGCTTGTCATATCACTAACTTGATAGCAGTGATAGTGAAGATAATAAATACTTGAAATACAATGAAAAGTTCATAGAATCCATACAGTGTGAAAGCAGGCCATTTAGCCCATTAAGACCACACAGGCCCTCTGAAAATTATCCCACCCAGACTTACTGCCCTTCCTATCACTGTAACCCTGCCATTTTTCCCATGGCTAACCTGCCTAGACTGCACATCCCTAGATACTATGGACAATTTAGCATGGCGAATCCACCTAACCTGCATATCATTGGACTGTGGGAGGAAACCCACGCAAACACAGGGAGAATGTGCAAACTCCACACAGACGGTTGCCTGAGGGTGGAATGGAACCCAGGTTCCTGGCACTGTGAAGCAGCAGTGTTAACTATTGAGTTGGCATATTAGGTGGAGACAGTCTTTCTGTTTTAAAATCTGGTCTGATATGAAGTTTGTTTTATCACCACTGCACTTGGCTTTTCCTGTCTTTGTAGTTGGTTGAAATTGTAGATCTCTAATTTGACCGTTTCTGAGACATTAGCTCTTTCTGTCTTCACTGCTGCCTGACCAATTGAGTATTTCAGCTTTTATTTCCAGCACCCATTGTATTGTGCTTTTGCATATTCTTTATGCAATTTTGTCTAATTCTGTGCAAAAATAAGTAAATAACTTCTGTGACAGATGGTTACAATTCTATATCTCCCAGAACAGTGCCAAGAGGAACACTCTTGAAGCAAGTTCTGTTAACATGAAGAACTGCATTGATGGACCATCCAGATCTAATTACAAATTGACAAGCAGTGATAGTGGTGAAGCCAAAAACCAACATGGTCGTGACTCTCGGCGGCCCCGTGAGCTAAGTGACTGGGAAATGAGTGACAAAGAGGAGGAGGAAGAAGTGGAACTGGTGAGCAGACAAAGTGAGCAGGAGACTGCACAGACATTGGAGACTCCTCACACATGGGATAAAAGTAGCTGTCCAGATCTTGATGAAGCAGGACCAGGAGAAGGTGTAAAGACTCTTCAAACTGTAGAACAGAACAAGCCTCGGAGAGCTCCCTGCATGTATGGAAGTAATTGTTACAGGTATCTGCAATCTCTTTATAAGCAAATATAATAAATGAACACATTTTTTAAAAACGTGTACGGCTGTATCTGTTGCATTGTTCAAGTACTAATCATTGTGTTTTGCTTGTGGAGTAAAAGATCACACTGAAGATTTACGGGAAGTTACCAAATAAGCTTTTCAATATTAAAAATAAACTGTAAAAACCTCAGTAGCAACTGCTGAAAATGTGAAAGCATCAAATCAAATAGGAGTGGTCAGCACAATTTACAATCGAAGATAAAAATTGAGACACAAATCAAAATATTATTTTTTGAAAATCCTTTTTGGCTTCACTGTGCTGGTAATCTACAATCTGGAGTACTGTTTGTAATGTGATAGTCACAAGTTGCACAATTCAAAAGATTGGGAATGAGTGCCTCCAGGAATATAAACTGTATCTAAATTAAACCAGAGCAAGTACATGCCACTTCTCCGATCCAGCAGCATTAGCACAAGAAACTCAGGCAATCACTGGATTATAGCTTCCAGAATACATGTTAACTGCAATGCCTCAAATTTTGTACATCCAGGCTCTTTGGAGTTAGCAATACTGGCTGAAAAATCAGCTTGTTAACATCTCAGTGAAGCATTGGGCAGCTTTGAGAATGAGTGATGTTTGGAGTGCTAGTAGTAGGCTGATACTAAGTACAGAGGAACCCTGTTAGGACTGGTTGATTAGGTTGAGTCTGTACTTGTTGGAACATAGAAGAATGAGAGGCAACCTTATTGAAACTTCTAAAATTCTTTAGAGGACTTGACGTAGTAGATGGAGAAAGGTTGTTTCCCCTTAAGAACTAGACAGCATAATCGTAGAATAAGGACTCTCACATTTAAGACTGAGTTGAGGAATTTCTTCACTGAGGGTAGTAAATCTATGGAATTCTTTGCAACAGAAGACTGTGGAGGCTGGGTTGCTGTGTATATTCAAGGCTAAGATAGATGGTCTTGTGGAGTGGAGTTGAGCACAACTGGGTACAGGAGTGGAGACAAGGCTTCCACCAAGAGTGGGACTAAGCACAAGTGAGGGAGGAGACCTGTCTCCCATATTTCCATGTGGTCTAGGTGGGATAAGTTGGAGGAGTCAGTGTTGGCAGAGGAGGGTGTGAATTTGAGGTCATCAATTGAAAGTTTACCTTCAGGCTGATGTAGATGCTTAGAGTAGATATGAACTTGGAATGAGAATATACAGGTGTGATAATGTTGGCGGAGGATGTCGTGGGAGAGATGAGTGCAGTTGGGTACAACCAATGTCGGCAGAAGAAGTGCAGATGAATATGATAAAGAGTGAGTGAAGCCAATGGGAGAACCATTGAATGAAAGGAAGAGGTGAGATAGTAAGGTGTTAGACTCTGAATTGCCTGTTGAAGAGACATGGATTCACAATAACTGCCATTGGTTCCCTCATTCCTGGAATGAATGTAAAGGGAATAAAGGCCTGATATAATTCCAAATCACTGACCCAGGAAAAGGATGCTCTTTTTTGTCATGCTTTAAACATTGCGCTCTCTTGGCCATTTGAATTCTGTAGATGTATGTTGTAGTAGGCTTTGTGGTGCCTCTGCCTCTGAGGCAGAGACTCCAGGTTCAGATCACACTCCATGACAATGGCCATGGAAAATGTTTTCATGATGTGGCTAATCAGGTTGGTCATCACCCTGCAAATCCTTTTAATACAATTATGGCAGATGAAATGAGTGAGAGAGTTTTGGTCAGTCAGAACTGTGAGTTGCTGCAGTATGACAGCCTCCTTATTTAAAAACTCCACGTGCAGGAAAGTTTCCTTCCCATTCTGTGGGACTGCCAGGAAAAGACGTGCATTTTATTCCATAATGGCTACTGTTCCACGTCATTATGTAAATTCTACCTGGATGCTTCAGACATCTAGCTACGTAAATGTTTTGCAGTTCTGTTCTGAGGAAGGGTCGCTGGACCCGAAACGTTAACTCTGTTTTTCCCTTCACAGATGCTGCCAGACCTGCCGAGCTTCTCCAACAACTTTGTTTTTGTTCCTGTTTTGCAGTTCAGTATTGATTTATGTTATGTCCCAATGTTTAATGTGAAAGTGAACCTTTCAGGTCTAAAGGTTCAGACTGGATATGTCCGATGGGCTACAGAGTTCTCTGTAGTCGAACTTATCAGGAATGCATCTTCTCCACAAGGGAGCAGTGTCTCTCAAAGCAATGGTTTCTAACTGTTCTTGTTTTAATCAAAAACACTTTAAAATAAAGTTCACTTACTAGAATCTTCCCTTAAATGTAAGGACAACAAAATTTAATAATTCTGAAGGATGCAAAACAGGTTATGGGTTGTGCAATGGATGGGAAAAGTATCTTAAAGACTATATTAAATGGCATAAAATCAGAAACATGTTTCAGAAATGGTTAATAAAACTTCTGCAATCGGTAGCAAATACATCATGAAGAGAAGACTGATCTGTAATATTCAATGTAACTTTTTGAAATTGTAATGAATAACTTAGGTGGCCTTTTTTTTTGAAAAAAGAAACTGATAAGCAAAAGTGATGAGAATGAGAGAAAAATAATGAGGCAAAGAAATAATCGAATAATAGGAAAACTAAGAGAAAAATTACAAGAAAGCATGATATCCATGGCTACAATTCTTTGGGGTTTCCGAAGAGTTGATAGTTCACTTTATAAATATAGTTACCCCTCAGTGTCCTGAGAGTTTAGAATCCTTGCTGAAACATCGAAGTGAGAATGGGTCTGAGACCTAGTACGCATCAGCAGTTAAAAGTTTTGCCCTGTCAATGTTTGTATATCAGTATACTGCAAACAAACTTTTAAAACCCTTAAACTACAGTTTTAAAAAAGCAGAAAATACTGATGGCCATTTATCGAGTGGAACTTGATTTTAAAATAAAAGTTATTCTGTGCTTGATTTATTCTGGAAAATACCTGATGTCTGATTCAGAGAGATTGAAGGATTCTAGATGGGAAAACCTACATGTAGACGTAGCTTGCTAGCTCTGGTTTTAATTAATTTGTTGTTGACATCTTTGCAATTGCTGTTTTATTTGACCGTTTTAACCTACTTCATGTACCAAATGAGCCTCATGCGTAAAGCCAGTTAATGGAAGGTTTTGTTACTGGTTTGTCTTTTAATGGCTGTCATGTGTCCTGATTGAATAATGATTCAGTTGTAGATGCATTCTAGTAGGGAGTATGAGTTCGCCACGTCTTTGTGCAATTTAGTAATGTTTTCTCCTGCTGCTAATGCCACTCCTAAACATGCCGCATTGACCAAGGATTTACCACAGTTAGAAGTGTGCATGCTTTTGTTATCCAATTCACACCACAATATTGAACTATCAACCTAAAATACTTAGCAAGTTGATTCTCCACATTTGGCAAAAGCAACACATTTCTCTCTCCTTTTGCTTGCTGTCTTGGGGAGGACACTTGCTGTGGAGTATATCCTGTGTCAAGAATCTGCAGGTGGAGTCTTTTAATGCAGGAAGGTTGTTGGGCTGCAACTACCACACGATCTTGGCTGACCAACAGAAGCATACAACCACTCAACAGAACCTGGCCATCAACTCCCAGAGTGCGACTTTGTCTCTGAGCCAGCTCAGTGTTTGGGATGCTGCCCATCGTGCCAAAGACCTCTCTCTGTGTCACGATTAGAAACAGTCACACTAGTGTAACTTTTGCTGATTCTAGCTATATCTATGGATTTCATTATCTTGTAACATCAGAAGTATTTTTGACCATTTGGACATTTTCACATTATAATGTTGCCCTCTCCATGGAGACTGACATTTTTTTTAAGATTGTATTTCTATTTTGTTAGCTGAAAGAATGACCTGACAAGATGACAAATTGTAAAGTTTTTACTGTAACAAGTGAGGAACTGTTATTGGTTAAACTCCATCTTCAATTTATAAGCGACTAATTCTTTAACTATAGCCGTTCCCCTTGTATACTTACCAGACCTCACATTCTCCAAAGAATTACAATCATCTTAGCAAACAGTCCACAGATACTGCCAGTTTCTAATTGGTTTCCATAACCCCATTTCATTGTGTAGCAACTTTGAGTGTCTAAGTGCCTTTCTCAGTTTTCAGAGTTTTTTAAAATTCTCCCCCAACAGTTAAGCCTGTTCTGATGATTTGTGTCTCTGGATATACCAGAGCAAATCTCCTGGAATATTTAAATTGTTGCAGGATGCACCCCGTAGACTGGACTCTGCCTCTCTCCTGCATCTGGTTATGGTGGCTTGCATAGCTGAGCAGCCTTTTCTTTCTGCTGACCGTACAGAGCTATTATTTGTCTGAGACTTTCATTGATTTGTAGGGAAGCCTGCAACCTGATGTCAAAAATGGCTGCCTCAGTTTCCTTCCCCATAAAAATGTGAAACTCCTTTACCTTATATTCAGGTAGCAATGGGCTATTTTGACCTGAACTTCTCTTTCATTTTAAAAGTAAAAGAACCATTCAAAACACAACTATTTACTATCTATTACCTGTAACATTTTCTGGGACTTTGGGAGAACCAGTCTGCTCATTGTAAACTCAAGAGGCTGTCTCCAAGCATAAATATCTTCCAGTTGAAACAATCTGAGCTTCCTTTGACCTCTAGCAATGGAGCAGCTCATGCTTATTGTCACCTAGACTGTAGAACAGATCAGTAACTCCCTTTATTTACCTTTATTTTGGAATTGCATCTTCAAAATTTAATGACCTATTAACTTCATAATTGTAAGAATAAAAATAACAGAAGGTTTTGTTACAAGATGTATGAATCCACTTTTCCCCCAGGAAAAATCCATTGCATTTTCAAGAGTTGAGTCATCCTGGCGATACTGATTATGAGGAGCTAGCGGGTGAGGAGGAAGATGATGACAAACCAGAGTGTCCTTTTGGTACTGCTTGTTATAGGTTAGTAATTTATTCTACAGCAATTACTCTGGAGGCGAGGGTGGGGGGTGGGTGGGGGATGTCTCTGTATTCCCTTATCAACCCTAGTGGAAAGCTATTTTGATTTTAATAGATCAGTTTTCTTCAGATCACTTGTAGGCTCAAAACCTCAGATTTCCTCGTTACCATGAAACTGACAGGTCAGTTGAGCAATCGTGTGGTCCCCAACAGAGAAAATTCTCTCATTGAAGTTATGTTTTATTAATTGTTTATTTAACTTAATTTTATACCTTTCAAAATAAGGGCACCCAGCCATCATTTCGCTATCTGAATCCTTTCTCATTAAGATACAGGTAACCATGTTCTGTGCACTCCTAACCATCCCTGAGTTTTGCAATTCACATTTAAGTGCAATTCACACTTAGCTGCCACTTTGTGGGTGCCATTCACTCAGGTGATTTGATGGATGGATTTTATTTTAACAGTCGCTGTACCCCTTCTTATACCCCAGTGATGGCGTTAACAGTTATTGCTGTGAAGTGATTATGTTCCTTTTTGTAGAAATGGCTGTTTGAAGACCATTATATTATACCTGCATGGTTGTTATTTGCTCTGTAATGATTATGTAGAACATAATGAATACACTTGACTGCTTTTGAAAGGAGCCTATCTGCCATAGCATACAAAGTAAAATTAAAACAAATTCCTAGAAAATATGTTATTGAGGCACTGAAATCAGTTTCATTCATACTGATTGACTTCAGCTTCAAAACTGGTGCTTTAGCCAGTCACACACAACTTAGCAATGTATTCTGGTATCAAACAGCATAGCTGCAAGGAATTGCGAAGCTGTCACAAAGAAACATTACTTATGTAATTCACCTCTGAAACGTAGTGATGTTAATTATAGTTACAGGTCAAGACTGTCTGGTCTATCCACCCTGTCCCACACAGATGCAATAGGTTTTGCAGCTTGGTAAATACACTCCACATGCTATCACAAACCTCCTAGAAGAGATGAAACAAAGGATGAAAATGTTAGGCAATTTTAGGAAAATGGTTTATCTAAAATTCTTCCATAATTCACCTTGGAAATCAAACTGGACTAATTTGTCACTCTGACCTCGAGTTCCCTGAAGTACCTCTCTTTTGTAAGAGGTCATGTGCACCTCAATCAGACACCCTATGCTCATGAAACATTGCTTTTTCATTATTTTGCATGCTAGTTTTCCTCCAGGAGGCATCTGCAAAAATAGTACCTTGGCTGACCTACGTGTGAATGGAGAGCCGAATATTAAATCCCTCTATGCAGGCCATTTGGGTGAGATTGGAACCTATGGAACCTTCACCCAACAGAAATAGAATACCTTCAGAATAGAATTGGAAAGAAAATTGTAAAGCATAGTGTATGTTCTAAGACAAAACGAGAAAAGCGTATTTAAGGAACATTTATGACCACTGTACCCTCCTGACTAAATTGTCCTATTACCATTTATAAAGACTAATAGAATGAAGCAGATTACCAATTTAGGGCATGTATTGTGTTTAGTTAATAAATTAAAATGTGTTCCACTTTTTTGTAGGAAGAATCCACAACACAAGAAGGAGTACAAGCACACGCGACCTCCAGGTAGTATGATTTCTGTTTCCATAAAATTTAATTGATACTTTTGGTTTTATCATAAGTTCCCTTTAACTGCAGAAGTTTATAAAAAATTTGATTCTGCTTTCATCTGTATCCCTGTTATTTTTCACACAAGCATAAATGGTAATTTTTTCAAAGTATTGACGTTGGTTGGCTCGCCGAGCTAGTTTGTTGTTCCACAGACGTTTCGTTACCGTGCTGGGTAACATCCTCAGTGCAGCCTCCGATGAAGCATTGGTGTGTTTTCCTGCCTGGTTTTTAAACTATAAATAGATCAATATTCATTTATCTCAATCCACATGGATAAGGAGGACCACCAATTCAACAGCGACAAGCTAAGCAGAGACAGGCACGGGAATTCCTAGAAGCCTGGTACTCCACAAAGAAAGCCATCAATAAACACATAGAACTCGACCGCATATACACTCCACTATGAAGGAAAACCAGAAGTGAGGCAATCCAGCTCAACGGACTCCAGAGTTTGAAAACCAGGTGGGGAATTACTAGTGCCAGGCTTCTAGGAATTCCTGTGCCTGTCTGCTTAGCTTGTCCCAGGATTCTGGTGGTGTCCCAGTCGAATTGGTGGTTCTCCTTATCCATGTGGATTGAGATGAGTGAGTATTGGTCTATTTATAGTTTAAAAACCAGGCGGGAAAACACACCAACGCTTCATCGGAGGCTGCACTGAGGATGTTACCCAGCATGGTAACTATATAGTATATACTATATCATATACTGTTGATATAGTATATGAATAGACTGTATTAACAAGTTACGAAATAACAAACATGACTTTTACTTCAAGTTTCCCAGCTCAACGTTTCACACTTATGTTTATTTGTATCTTCTGATTATTGATGTACAACCTTTGTTTGAATTTGCCCGTTCTTCCATGAAAACCTCAGTGGAAGGAGCCCTTATGATTCATGGATGATATAAAACAAAAAATTGGGTTATTCCTTTATATGTGATCAGCAATTTCAGAAAGTAGTTAATGACCTTATTGCTATGAAAAGGTATCACTTTTTTTTTAGCATAATGACAAATCTAGGTCAACTTGACCTGAATTTGAAATGTGAATAGTAGTATCACAGCAAACATTTTATTAACCAGCACCTTGGGGCCAGGAATGTGCCAGTTGACAAATATTCTGGTTCATCAAGAGGTGCATATAATCAATGTAAAAACACAGACTAAATAATAGAAATGCAATGCAGGGTGTATACACATCATTATTTACTGCATAAATCACTTAAATAATAATACAAATTTTGCCTTAAATAAAGCTTACTAGCAGCGAGCCTTCTCACTCACACCCTCGACAGACTACCTAGAAATTGTGGGGATCGTGATAATGCAGTAAACTTCCAGTATCTTAATATACTTTTTGCCGGTTTATTGAGAGTGCTGGTTATAACAAAGTTTCTTGTACTAACATCAAAGTCCGCAATTACATTTTTTTTTGTCAACTGTTATTAATTCATGGATGTCTGTTGATACATTGCAGCACCTTTGGTAGTGATCTGTGGATTCCATGGATTGCATTCTATTTAATTCTGCCCTCAAGGATTCTGCCTACCATGAGGTCTGTGTGATCAGTTCTGTATTGCAGTCCTGAGAATGCTCTCCTTAGTCAGACTGTTCCCATACTGATGCTGCTGCACCTCTGCTTCTACATTATCTGAGTGTGACTTAGTGTTGACTCTTAGGAGCTTCAGTGAACTCTTTATTTAAGTACTGACATAGAGAATACTGATCACAGCTGTCTAATATAATTCTGTTCCTTTTGTCTTGGATTCCAATAGCATGCCTCTGTCTGTTGTCAGAATTGCACCATCATCTACATTGTCACAATTGATACGTTCATTCCCATCATAGTACAATTTGGTTCTAGCCTTATTTTAAGTCAAGATAGGTAGTATTTTTTCATTTATTGTATAGTATGGTCAAGCAAAGTGTGTATAAATCTTAATTATTTTGCAGTTAGTATTTAAATATGTGCTTTGTTCTTGGAGAATGGTAAATAAAGTTACCAGCACTACAATATAGACTGGTGAGCACCTAAGAGATAGTGTCTCTTTATAACATAAAACATGATTTGATGCTGAGCAGTGACTGGAATGTCACCATTGAAGAGTGGAAGTCTTTTTTTTCCTCTTAAGCTCAGAATTATATACAGTCAGACCAAATTTATTACAGCCAGATGTATAGTATTTCTCCCACAAGGTAGCTTAACCTCAGCTTCAGAATAGCAGTCTATACCACATCAATCACGTCTTTTTTTTTCCATTTCTCACTATCCCCTTTACGCACTGTTGCCTTTACAGCTTCCCCGATGGAGATTGCGGGTTGCTGCCAAGTTAGGGCCAGTGCTGTAATTTGTGCCCAGGGCCAAAAGATGTTGATTCAAGACTGCTGAAGCCCATTTCATATAGATGCCCAAAGCCAGCAGAGAAAATGAAAACAAAAAATACTGGCAATCACAGCAGGTCAGCCGGCATCCGTGGAGAAAAGGCGAGCTAATGTTTCGAATCCAGATGACTCTTCATCAGAGCTGATGTAAAATTGCATTTATGCAAAAGTGGCGGGAGGGCTGCTGTGAAGTGCTAGGGGAGAAGGGCTGCGGATAGTGCAGATTAAGTGATCAGGAATATGAGAATGGCAGAACAAATTGTGTGTCTAATTGCCAGATCGGAAAGGACAGTCCCACTCCACATCCCCGCCCCCCCCCCCCGGCCACCTTGCACAAATGTTGCCCCCTCCAGCCTGCTTTATCTCCATGGATACTGCCTGAGCTGCTATGATCTCCAGCACTTTTTGTTTTCAGAACAGATTCCAGCATTTGCAGTAATTTGCTCCTACAGCAGAGAAAAATGTTGTTCTTCAGTGGAAATCTCAAACCAAGGCTCTAGAGATGAATCAATAGTATGCTTAACCCATTGTAGTCAGTCATAAATGAAAGTGATTCCTGCATTAACTAGTTACATAACCTTATCACCTGTAAAATAATTATCCACTTCAAAGTGGCTGAATTTTGTGCAAGCATTCAGATTGTTGTAATTTGTCGTCATATTCATGTTATTTGGTTTTTCTTATTTGATAACGTTTTAATTTTAGGAAGTGAATTAAGAAGACCAAAGAGAAAAGTGGCTCAAAAAGGTAAGAGTATTTTTTAATCCCTCTCAGATTGAGTTTGTCATTTTTCAACCAATGCAATCAAAATCTGGTCATTTACCTCATTCACTGTTTGTGGGTCCTCTGTGTGTGCCAATTAACTCCATTGTTTGCTTGCATATCAACTGCGATGATATTGCCGAAGTGATCAGTTGGCTATGAAACAAAGCTGGTACTGTGGCTACAAGATCAATCTTACAATTCTGAAGGTATAAAGCCATGAACTTTATCATTGTTGTACAAGTCTATCAGGTTCACCGATGTCCCTTTTAGGGAATGAAATCTGCTGTCCTTCCCTGTTCTGGTGTACATGTGATTCCAGATCCACTGCAGTGTTTCACTTAACTGCCTTCTGAAATGGTCTACCGAGTCTCTCAGTTCAAGGAACTGTTGAGGACAGGCAATAAATGCTATCCTTGTCAGCAATGTCCACATCCCATCAAGGCCTGCATTTTTAAAACTCCCTTTTGAGGAACTACGTTCAGCTTTAGGCACAGTATTAGAATTATGGCATTGCTTAAAGAGTTAAATTATGGGGATAGGTTGCTTGAAAATGTTGGTCCTTTGGCTGAAAGATGATGACGATGATAAGAGGAGCCAAGATGAAGAGAAGCTATTTCATCCACTAAGGAAATTCAGAGCAAATCTTGAAAATTTATAGCCAATCACAGAAGAAATTAGGAGCCCTTTATCACAGAAAAGGTGTGCTAGAAATGTGGAGGTTTTTCACTCTAAAAGGCTGTGAAAGCTCTTTCGATTTAAATTGTCACCCAGTAATAATTGTTGACACACCAATAATATCGATGTTCAGACAAGGTGATTAGAAAAGCCAATGGCTAAGATATTTTGTTGGAATAATAATGGACAAGTCTACAGAAGTTATGCTGAAAGTTTACAATGTTCCTGTCAGTTCACACTTGTGTTCAGTTTTTGTTACAGAAAATTAATGTTCTTGGATTAGAAAGGCTATGGAACAGAACAGTATGTTTGATTCGATACAGTGACCTTATTAAAGGGCCTAATTAAGGTATACTCAGGTTCATAGCTTGACATTTTGGTGTGGAAGTAGGACCCAAAAACAAACTGAAATGAGAGCAAAGTGAAAGCCAAACCAACATCAGATGTAATAACATTCTTTGTTTGGTAGACTAGACAACATTCAATATGAATTTTGTGGTTATTTAATATTCAGTTTGGTGAAATGCTGCCAGAGATAATGTACTAGGAGGAAGAACTTGAGTTAGCCAAATGCCCTTATTTTTGATTTTTCTAATAGTTCCATAATGTGCTTCAGTTTTTAATTGTTGTCTTGGATGACCTGTATGTTGATGAATATGTCTTTTGATTTGACTAAACATTGAGTTCAATAATTTGACCACCTAAACTTATCATGGCATCAGATTTCTAGCATCTGCAGTTCTTATACAACTCACTTAGAATCAGTTGCCAAGCAATATTGTCTTATCTAAACCTTTAATTACCCTAATGTCACACTTCCCTGCACCACATCGTAAATTCATATTGGGAAGTATAAAAACAGACATATGTCTGAATCCAGTTTACATTTCAGCAAGATTTGAAGCTATGAACAGAATTATCTAAGAAAATTTGCAACTTCACACTACAAACCGAAGCAAACTTATGATCCAATTGAATTAATGTTGTCAAATGGGAGCTCATCATTCCTTTTTGTTACAGTGGGTGATTACCCTTGAGCTGTGGCAACTGTTCTGTTGTGGAACTATTATGTGCCAATAAATGCTTTCCTTCTGCTAGATAAAAGTGGTCTGGATGGTGAGAGTGATGATGATGGTGAACCCAACCGGTATGACCTGAATGACCGTTTTATTGATGATGAAGAGGAGGATCTGGAGCCGACTGATGAGGATTCTGATTGGGAGCCAAGTGCAGATAGTGATGAAGATATTGAAACACTAACAAAAGAAGCCAATAGATTTGTAAGAAATAAAAAATGAAACTTGTTTTTTGTACCTTTTTAACTTGGAGCACTGAGAAAATCTGTTGTCTTTCTGATTGCACTAACACTGATGTTTGTTGGCTTGCTTTAACTTTATGTTCAGAATCACATGACTGCCCTCTTGTCATTAATTCATTAACTAGGTTTGAATTATCCTCTGTCAATTTGGAATGATTGTTAGATCATGGAGTGAGTTCTGGAAATGAAATTTGAGCATTTTCAATGTCTGCTTTGATGGATAGTCAGGAGAAGGACAAAGTTTTCAGAATTTTGCTTGTTGCTAGACAGCCATTAAGGAGTGATATTTCAGTTTCTTGATACCATTGCACTAATGAAAACAAGGGCATATTTCTGAGCTATGCAGCTGTCTTAGCAAGCTACACGTGGTAGCACGAGTCCTCAGGTTTTGGAAACTTAAGTGCAAAGTCCGATTTTTGTCTTTCATATAAAGAGGACCATAACAGCAAGTAAAGAGAGAGCCAAAACAAAAAGCAGCAGCGTTGAAGTTTATTGTGCAATTCATGTCCACATTTGTCAACTGATTCAGGCATGCCCACTGGAACTGAGTTCAACTACTCAGTAAAGTTTGCAAAACAGCTTTGCTTTGTAATGAAGAGGCAGTGAAGAATATATGTTTTTTGGCCAGAGTGCACCATCATGTGTTTGGATGCCTAATGCCTGTCACTATTCTGAAAGCACAGATGTGCTTCCTTCCAGCTGTCTGTCATTTTGAGTTCAGATATAAAGCAATAAAACAAATTTAAAGAAAAAATGTCTATGTGACTGACGTCGAAGTTCTGGTTCGATTGCAGAGATGCCCGCAAATTGCTGTAGTGTCAATGGAATTCCTGGAATCTGAAAGGGTTGTTCAGCCTTGTATGACTGAACTGCTTCAGATAGGAGCAGTGCACTCATGATGTTAATTTGAACTTCTGATCTTGGCAGCCATCCTTCCTCTGGCTGGTGTAGGTCTGACTACCTAACTGCCAAGGTGACTCTGAAACTAACCTCTGTGGGCTCTCTGCAGTCTGCACTTGATACAAGGGACCTTTGGCACTCCCCCACCAGCAACAGAATTTCTATTGGTCACCAGCTGGGTATGCATTTGTAACAGTACTGCTACTGAAGACAGGACTGATGCTGATGATGGTCCCGTAGATTAATGGGGTTTTAAAACTGATGGAAAGGTAAATGCAAATTGACTTAGGTGCTGGAAAATCACTATAAATGCTGAGTTTCGCATTGCAGTGGATAGAAATGTGTAAATTTTAAAAATGTTTCCACATTCAAACTTCACTATGTAGTGAATATCCCAGTAAAATACTACTTACATAGTCTTTTGCTGTCTGTCTCCCCAGTAAATCTGTCCCTTCCTGTTAACTAATGGAACTGCCCATTTTCTTCTCTGTGACAAGACTGTTTAGTTGTGTCAACGGAGGTATGGTGGAAAATCAAAGTGAAAAATTACCTTGGTATGACAAGCTCATGTTCCATCATTTAAAGGCAGTACTGTTGACTAGTGGTTGAATTTCTCTGTAATATGCACTGCTTCTAGATATACCAAAAATAGGTTAAAATCATAACACCTTTTTACCTTGTAGTTTGGATGTATATTTGAAATAATTATTTTTATAATGCCAAAGTTTGTTTATATGAAGCCGGCCTGGAAAATAATTAATGTACAGATTTGTCAATACAGTTTGCATTTAATTTTTTTGGTAACATGGAAATGGGTACTGCTAAGGAAACACATTTTACCAAAATGTTTCATCTTGCATTCATCAGGGCAATTTGCAAGAGATGTCAGTCATCATTAAGGAATCAACCAATCAGAGTCCACTTACCAACCAATCTGTATTCTCCTCTCATACCGTAAGTGTTGTTTTTCCTGTTGAATTGATCTTCTCGCCAATTGTCCTGATGAATGCATGTCAAAAAAAACTTCAACAAAACGTCTTTTTCAGCAAAGTACACGTCGTCTTGTTGGCTTGAGTTGCTGTATTGGCTGACTTCTGATATGAGGATGTGGTGGTTCATTGGCAATTTACTTATAAGTATCTACTATGTCGGTGACTACTGTCTGTTAGTTTTCAAGGTTACCATTCTGAGAGACACAATAGCCACTACAACCATCAGAGACACAAGTCATTCAAAATATCTTCTGAATTTCTCATCTTGCATTAATGTTCAGAATAAGAATTAAAATGTTTTTTGTAAATGGCTCATTCCATAACAGAATGATTATGTTTATCCCTTGTGTCTACTAATGCTTCCATTAAAGATTTTAATTGAAAGTCTTGGTCTCTTCCAAAGTGTAAATTTGGAATGAATATTTTTGCCAAGAACTCCTTCCCAAATTTCTCACCTTGCCTTAGGAAGAAATATGCTTACAGAATATTATTCTCAGCTTGCAGCATTTTCTATTCAGAAACTTCAAATTTTGAAATGTGAAAAATATGCAGCATGTTCATTAAAATAAAATTTGTTTTTTTTTTGTTTGTGGAGCAAGAGATTAATGTTCTAAAAAAAAACTGTGTGGAAGAATGACACTTGATCGCAAGAAGTAGAGGTGCAGGCTATTCAGCCCCTCGAGCCTGCTTTGATATTCTATGAAGAGGGCCTCAACTCCACATTCCAGTCTGCCCCAATGATTCTTGTCTCCTTTTATCAATCAAAAATCTGTTGAACTTAACCTTAAACATATGTCACTCCCCAAAGAGAGTGGAGACTGGGTAAGGGAATTGCACAGACTAATGCCTGCCTTAGAAAAGAAATCTTTCTCTCCTTAAAACTCCTAATTGTTAATGATCACCTACCACCACATTGGAGCAGTAAGTCTGCACCGTTCAATGTTGTTGATGTACATCTGGAACTAAAGGTCGGAGCCCACTTGGCCTTTGGGTGCATCGGTGCTGTAGTTGTTTCTGCAGCCCCCTCCCTGATCAGCCCTATAGCTGTTGCTCTGATCCCACCTCACTCAAAATGACACTTGATCTGCAATCTCTTGCCAGTTCTGTAAATGAGTTTTTTTTTTCAATGAAACAATTGTAGAAACTTAATTTGTAATCGTTTTTCCCATTGCTGTATTACTGAAACTAGCAACTATGTGCAGCGTCTCAAGATGGTGGCAGCATGGATGGTGAGAATGTTGCTGTATTGCAAAAGCAGCTAATACAGCCAATTATTAAACAGTGCCCCCAATTTTTAGTTTTTCCCCATAAGTGGAAACATGCTGTCTACATCCACCCTGTTAAATTCCCACACTCTTGTGCTTCAATAATTTCACCTCTTATTCCTAAATCAATCTTTGCTCATAAACTGACCCCTTCATCCCTAGCATCGGTCAAGTGAACCTTCTCTGAACTGCTTCTAATACCCTTAGAGTCTGTATCCTATCCCACTTTCCAGTACTTGGCCCACAGCCTTGGATGTTATGACATATACAAAATATAAAATGTACTTTTTAAAGATTGTAAGATTCCCCACCTTAACTACCCAACCTGGCAGGGCATTCCAGGCCCCCCTCACCCTTTGGGGTGTAGCAGATATTACCTCCAATCTCCTCTAAACCTCCTGCTTTTCACCTTAAAATTATGCCCCTTTATTATTAACCCTTCAACTTAGGAGAGCGGTGGCTTCTAATCCAGCCTGTCCGTACTCCTCATAATCCTCTACGCCTCAATCAGGTGCCTCCTCAGCCTTCTCTGCTCTAAAAACAGCGCCTCTACCTAGCTGAAATACTCCATTCCAGGCAACATCTAGGTGAATCTCCTTTACACTTCCTCTAGTGCAATCACATTCTATAGTGTGGAGACTAGAGCTTCACACATACCCCAGCTATGGCCGAACCAAAGTTTTGTACAGCCCCAACATGACCTCCCTGCTCTTGTAATCTATGTCACGACCGATGGAGTGTCCTGTGTGCCTTCTTAACCACCCCATCACTTTTTCTGTGGCCTTCAGGGATCTGTGGGCATGCACCCCAAGATTGCTCTGTTCCACTGAGCATCCTGGTGACCTGTCATTCATTGTGCACTCCCTTGTCTTTCCTTTTTAAATATGGAGATCAAAGCTAAGCACAGTCCTCCAAATGTGGTCTTACTAATGCCTAGTAGAACTCTAGAAACACTGATTTAAATTCCATTCCTCTTGCAATAGACATCAAGATTCCACTTGCCACTTTAGTCGCTTGCTGAACCTACACATAAATTTTGTGATTCAAAATTGCACCCCTTTTAGTGTTTTGCTGTATTCAAAATGATACTAGACTAAAGGCACACATGATGTTAGAACATAAGAAATAGGGGCAGGAGTAGGTCGTATAGCCCCTTGAGCCTGTTTCACCATTGTGTAAGATTATGCCTGATCTTCGGCCAATGACTGTTGATTTGAAGGGTAATTTTGTGACATTTGAAAACTTGACAGACTGACTCAAAGGCATTACAGTTAAGTGCAAGACCCACAAAGAAGATTAGTCACAAATGAATCTGATAAAGTAAATTAACGTTTAGCTCTAAGCTTGTGGCCCACAAAAAAATTTTTTTTTTTTTTTTTACAAATGGATATAACAGAAGGATTCAAATAAATTTACTTGATCTACTTTTCAGATGCTAATGCATTTATATTTGGAAATTCACACCCTGTGTCATACGGAGGCTGAAGGCCAAATCAGTTTGGAGTAATAGTTGAAATGATAAGATTAATAATCTTTAGATTCATAAATGATTGAAGTGTCCATTAGGATTGAAACTGTTTAGTTGATGAATACATTCAACTATCTTGTTTCTTGTAGGAGTTTCATTGGGATGTTTCGTTATATTATGATTGTAATACTGGACAAGTCATGTCCCAGAATTAAACCTGGCTTGGTAGATCATATATCTAACTTTTGCAGTTGGTTACCGTGACTATGTCACTGAAATATGTCTGCATGAGGCTGCAGTTGATTTTCAACAACAGATCACACATTTATTGCACACAAAATATCTTATCGATGCAATATTTAGAAAGATCTTAACATGAACTGCAAAACAAAGTTTCAAGCCATTTCCTATCATTATCCTTTTCAGGCTGCTCAATTTCAGAGAAATATACGTCTATCACAACTATTACATTTTTACCTGAACTGCTTAATTCATTTCCAATCCCGCTGGCATAAGCTTTTCACCAGTCTGATAGCCAAAACTTTCTAACAAATTGAAGACTTCAATACAAATTCTCCTAGCTTGGAAACTCTACAACTGATAACCCTTCAGTTGGAATGACTGGTTCCCCTCTCAAGAAAAAAACTGTTGTCCCTTGTGAACCGAACTCCTGATTCTGCTGAGCTGCTAGGAGAAAAAATAAGTTCTCTCTTCAGAATAGATTGAAGTCAAAAGCTAAACTCAGCCTCAAAATTAATAAAGGAACCCCAATTTTTAGAAATCCACTTCAAAAAAAATTAGAATTCTTTTGGCCTTTTACGTTGCCAGTGGGTTTCATTTTAGCCAAACTGAGAAATGTCAAACTCCCTGTTACTGCACGTGGATAATATACAAATTAAGAAGCAAAACGAGACTATTCAGCCCCTCGAGCCCTATTCCATCATCCAACAAAACCGTAACTAGGCTAATTACTTCAAGGTCTCAGCTTCCAGTGGCTTTTGAGAAGATGAATTCAAAAGACACTCGACCCTCTGGTGAGAAACAATTTCTCCTTATCTCTGTCTTAAGTGGGTGACCTCTTATTTTGAAACAGTGACCACTGGTACAGGAGTTTATCAGTTCTAAAATTGTTGCATCTCATGTCAATACATTGTGACATTTGAATGGAGCTCTGGCTCTGTTTTGGGGAGATTTGTCAGTCCAGAAGCTCTACTGGTGAATCATATTCAGCGCTAAAATGGTGTCTTTATAGATCTGGATCATATTTTCAGGTTTCCCACTGCCTTTTGTGCTCTTGAAAAGTCAACTTTTATGGCCAGATAATACTTCCATTGATTTTTCAGGCCATGTTCAGCGATAAAATATTTTAACATTTTCACAATGCTATTTTGCTGTAGACTTGTACATTAGCAACATCATTATCAAAACGTAAATCCAGATGTTGATAACATCCTACAGACCAGACAAGAATTGTAACTCAATAAGAAGTAATTGCTGTACCTCCAGGAATAACAATAAAATTCACCTCCCACACTACAATTTTTCGTTCCCACTAAAGCTGAACTTTTGCTCTGTTGAAAATTACTTAGGCTAAATTAATGGTGTGTTTTGTTTTGGTATTTGCAGTTCTAAGACTATTGCAATGTTTTCACTGGACTTCTTCAGTGGTAAGCTGATAATCTTTCAGCTCGGAACTGACAGTGCTGTGCTTCCAAACTACTGGAAGCAGTCAGATTGAAGGATTTGGAGTATTATCTACCAGTTCATTTCTTAACACTTGTTAATGGTTCCCAACTGGATAGCAAAACAAAATTGGTCGGCAGTACAGAATAAGTTCCTCCTAGGACAATTTGTTCTGGACGTGCTCAATATTTGCTTTCTGACATAAGTTCGATTGTTCACAGTTATTGGCCCTGTGATGTTTATATGTTGACAGGCTGTCAACCAGGAAGAAAATCAACTTAAATGTGTAAAGCGTCCTACATTTCCACTCTGGTTTAGAGTCACCTCTCACACATTAAGCCAGTTTAACAATTTGGATCAGGGCTTCTCAAAGCGGGATGTGAATCTCACGTGGAGTCACAAGCTAAATTTTGGCATTGTGAGCTTCAAGACAGCTATGGCGACTTGGAATTCTGTGTACCTCACACTCGCCCTGTTCTTGTATAACCTCTCTGTTATCCCCTATTTTCAAATGTCTTCTGCTCCCCCACCCCCTACCAACACACACACACACACACACACACACTCCGTCTGCACCCTCATCTCACAGTTGTCATTGAGATGTTGCAGGATGAAACAGTTGTTAAACTAACTACTTCTTTATATGGTGCCTGTCTGACTCAGTGGGTTGGTTTGTGGTGCAAATTGGTATCAACAGCATAGGTTTAATCCCCACACTGGCTAAAGTTATGGTGAAGGATTTCCCTCAACCTTTCTCACCTTGCCTGAGATGTGGTCACCGTTAGGTTAAACCACCACCACCAGTCCTCCCTCCCTTCTCACCCTCACTCTCTCTTTCTTACTATGGCAGCTTTACCAATCTCTGACTCTTCACTTTCAAGATCATGGACTCCACTGATATTTGCACCTACTTCTTCTACTGCCTCCTAGGAGATGCTGTCTTTCTTTCTGTTTCCCCATCTCCCCAT